CGGCGGGATGATGATGGGGAATTAGCTTCGGCTACCATCATATTTTTTCCGGTCATTATAGTCGAGTGGTTAAGGGGTTCTGGACACAAGTTGCAGAGTGCTCCTGGCAGTATGGGTTCGAGTCACTTCTGGGGAGTGAGTTTTCAGTTTCATATATGCCTGGGGACCATTCAGGCTTGTTCGCATATATATATATATATATATATATATATATATATATATATATATATATATATATATATATATATATATATATATATATAATACTTATATACATATATAAGTGATGAAAATAATCATCAACGAATCTTGAGTGTCTCTCAATGAGTTTCTCCGTAAGTCCTTAGTCCGTCCCTTTCAATCTTTTACTAATAAGAGTAACTTTTTATTTACTTTTACTTTCAATCTCTTACTGTTTGTCCGTCTGTCATATAACGAGCAATCCGGCTGGCAATTGCCTCTCCCCCCCCCACCCCTCCTCCTGGCCACCTACTACCCCATCCTTGCATCTCATTATCATTAGCAGGGAAGCCGGCTGGGCCCTTTAATTTTCCTGGGGGTAATTTTGCATTCAGCGCATGCCATTATGGGAGGACAATATCAGGTAATTAACACTATATGACGTGTGGGGTTACAGCAGTCTACCCTCCCCCCATTCACTCCTCCAAATTAATTTCAATGGTGTGATGTTGGTGATGCTGGAAGGGGAGATGGTGGTGATGCTGGGGGTGGTGGTGGTGGTGGTGGTGGTGATCCTGGTGGTGGTGGTGGTGGTGATGGTGGTTGTGTAGGAGAATACGGTAATGGTAGTGATGGTCGTAGGGAAGGTGATGGTGGTGGGGGTGATAGAGGTGATGGTGGTAGTGTAGGGGGGGGAGTGTTGATGGTGGTGGTGATGGTGGTGATGCTGGCGGTGGTCGCTATGATGGTAGTGACAGTACTGATTGTTGTAGTGATAATGGGAATGATGGTTGTGATTTTAGTAATATTTGTTAGCATTATTATAATGGTGGCGTTGTGAGTGGTGGTGATGATGATACAGGTGATGGTGGTGGTGGTGATGGTGATCCTGGCGATGATGGTGATAGTGATGGTGGTTGCGATTTTGATGATGGTGGCGATAGTGATGGTAATTGCGAGAGTGATGGTGCTATGATGGTGGTGACAATAGTGACAATAGGGACGACGATGGTGGTGGCCGCGATAGTGACAGAAATGAACACGTGCAGCGTGTGCGTGTGTTTAAGGAGAGTTTAGCAGTGTGGGCAACACCTCATGTTGTTCTAAGCATCTGCTCTTCAGTTTTCATTTTCCGTTCAGAGTATTTTCGTGAGTATTTTATCTTTATTAGCTTTAGTATGTTATTTAGTTAAATTTTTATGTGTCATTTTTTCCCCTCTCTCTTTCTCTCTCTCTCTCTCTCTCTCTCTCTCTCTCTCTCTCTCTCTCTCTCTCTCTCTCTCTCTCTCTCTCTCTCTCTCTCTCTCTCTCTCTCTCTCTCTCTCTCTCTCTCTCTCTCTCTTTCTCTTTCTCTTTTGACAATATATCTGTCTATATGTTTCTCTTTTTGTCCATTTATATCTCCCTTTGTCACTCACTGACTCTCCTCTCGTTCTCCCTCTCTCTCCCCACCTCCCCCTACTGCCACTCTGACAACTCTCTCTTGCTCTCTCCCAGTCTCCCCTCCCGAGCTCTCTCTTTCCTCTCTGATTCTCCCCTCCCATCGCTTTTACCCTCCCCCTCGCCCTCTGATTCCCACTCCTCTCTGTACTGTTAAAAAATATCCTGGAGCAAATTGAAAATAATGAAAGGAAAAATGTACAAAAATATTTCAAAAACCCGTTTGAAACACTGGCCATTTCTGCGTTGGCTTTCGCCCCTTTCTCTCTCCCCTCTCCCCTTGCGCCCGCCCCCCCTGCTACCCCGTCCAACTCTCCCCTTTTCCCCCTCTATCGCCACAGTGCCCCCGTGCCTGCATGCCTGCCTGCATGTGGGAGTCTGTGTGTGTGTGTGTCTGTGTGTGTGTGTGTGTGTCTGTGTGTGTCTGTGTGTGTGTGTGCGTCTGTGTGTGTGTGTGTGTGTGTGTGTGTGTGTGTGTGTGTGTGTGTGTGTGTGTGTGTGTGTGTGTGTGTCTGTGTGTGTGTGTGTGTGTGTGTGTGTGTGTGTGTGTGTGTGTGTGTGTGTGTGTGTGTGTGTGTGTGTGTGTGTGTGTGTGTGTGTGTGTGTGTGTGTGTGTGTGTGTGTGTGTGTGTGTGTGTGTGTGTGTGTGTGTGTGTGTGTGTGTGTGTGTGTGTGTGTGTGTAGGCGCACGCACGCACACGCGTGTATGTGTGTCATTATGTATGAATGAAAATATATATATATATATATATATATATATATATATATATATATATATATATATATATATATATATATATATATATATATATATATATATATAAGTGAGTGTGTGGTAACATGCGTGAGTGCATGAGCGTGCGCGTGCGCCTGCTAGCCAGCCAGCTCCCCCTCGATAGCTGATGCCATGTACGGAATATTCGCTGGGCTTCTCTCTCTTTCTCTCTCCACCAACACTCTAAATTTATCCCCTAATTCATAATATCAGTCCCCCTTTTTTTGTATTGTCTGAGTGTGCATAGATTAATGGGTTGCCTGTACCCATATCCCCCATCCTATTTGTTCCGTATATATATATTCGTTGCTGTGTATTAACACGAAATAGGAAATGGGATAGAGGGAAGGGGGGAAAAGAGGGTGTTATTAGTTAATTGGGAATGAAAATGTGTGGTGTTTTTACCTTAATATTGCGACTTTTACCGCTGGATGAGTTTTGTTCATGTAATTTATATGCTTTTGTAGAGCCAGGACGGCTGCTCTACGACTGTTGTGTAAGTGAACACTCGCACGCATATACTCATGCACACACACAACGTTTCTGTACACCAGTTGATTGACGGTTGAGAGGCGAGACCAAAGAGCCGAAGCTGAACCCCCGCAAATACAACTAGGTGAGTACAATCACATATACACGCACGCTGCC